ACTAAATCGGTATAGTTACGGAATGAGCCCCGGGGCGCCTTCATTAACTTAAAAGAAAAATGATGATAATTATGACATTTGTAGAATATTTTTATGGTATTCGAAAAATTATTAGAAAATTAGTTTTTACACGTTTCGAGCTAGTTATTAAATTTAATCTAGAATATTTAAGAAAGTGCTAATTTGTTACAAGGATATATATAGTGTGATCTAAGGGATATTGAAATGTTACTTAGTTATATTCATTTCTATACTGAGTTTACTGGTCTCACACTACCACTGAAGAATTTTTTTATACGGGATCCCTAAAGTGTCTGGATCCCATCACAATCCCAACGGGATCAGGATCCCACCAGAAAACGAGATCCCACCAGAAAACGGGATCCCACCAGAAAACGGGATCCCACCGGGATCGGGATCCTAGCATTGAATGGATATAATGGGATCGGGATCACACAGGGAAATGAGACTGCGCCGAGATCGATGTCAGAATGGGATCGGGGTCCCAATGGGATCGAGGATCACACCAGGATGGCGTCATAATGCAATCTTGTTCAATGCCGGGTATGCCGACTAGTTATTATATAATTACACAAAAAGCTGTTTAACAATTTTAAACTGTTTTCAATGGCATCTTTGATTTGACGTGGCCAACTTACTTTCTAAAATCGATGCCTAAAGGAACACATTTTTTTGTTTGAAAAATGTATACAAACCAAAATGCCGTAAATAATGTCGAATGCATACTTATTGAAACACACCAAATAAAAGACAAATAACCTGCATCAAATTAAGTAAAACGTATGCCTAAATTAATATGTTTTTAATGATTTAAAAGTAGAAAATTTAAATGTAAAATATATTAATGTGAATAGTGATATTATAATGTTTAAGTTCAAAAGATATGTTTTTAAAGGAATGTTGGTGTATCTTTAAATATTACTCAATGTTGTTGTAACCCATTGAGATGAAGAGTTCAAAGAACCAAAATAGTTTAGGCATGACTAGGTGAAATCAGGCTATCATAGGAAAGTATTGCTTTACACTTGTGCCATCAATCTTTATTTTCTTTTCCATGTCATCGTAACTTTAAATTAATTGGCCTAAGATGTTTAGGTGAAGACAGAAAACAAATCAACAATATTACCAGTTCCCTCCTATTAGGTACAGCTATTATGTGTAGATACATTAATATCTTATTTGACTTAATATGGCTCGTTACAAACAGTACATAACAAAGGACGGTACCATAAATTAAATACAGTAATGAACAACGATACCCACACTAGTGCTAAATACAAATATAATGTATTAAGATAATTTTAAAATTACAAAATCAAATCAAATAAAAATATGGCTATTGAATTGCATTACATCAATATACTGGTACCGGTACAATGTTGGAAAGGTGCACACACATACAATCAATAGAACATTAGAATCAACGATCAGTCAAAGCCATAAAAAAAACATATGATAATTAATCCTTATATTGTACTTTTTTAAAATATTTCATTTGTTCCCGTTCAAGAAACAGAAAAAGGAAACGCACTCTCTTTGTTGTTATTTACTTTAAATACTTCATTGAAATGATATACTATTCAAATATCAACATTAGTTAACGAGTAAAATGCAAAATCACCTATGGAAGATTTGTATATCATGCCTAAGTTTTCTTTTAATAACTTTCTATCACTTTGATTAAGAATATCATATTTATCATCACAGACTAATTGATGTTTATTAAACTTAAAACCACGTTAAATACTATATTTGGTAAGAGCTTATATAAAATTAAATACTGAAATTCATAGATGTTCATTTTTTTCTTTCCATTTCTATTTGTAAAAAAGAGTGAAAATTTGTATATATAAAAATTTGGTGTTTATTAAAAAAAAGAACACAAACGGCATTTGACTAGAGACCAAGTAGGAAAAAATTCAATTAAATCCATATATTTTTGAGGGAATATTAGTTGTGGTGAAAATGTCGGTACATTGGATTAAGATAGTTTTAGTTTGGAAATTCGGAAACACATTTTTTTCATGTAATGATTATTTTAAAAAAAAACATTATCAAATAATTTATTTTAATTAATAATATCTGTGTTAATTATGTAATTAAAAGTTAAAGTTGTGAGTTATTTCTAAATTGGCATAATGAAGTGTAACGATTATTATAAAGATAAATAAGGGCCCTGGCTCAAATTGTGTTCTTTATTCACTAATAGATGCATCAAACTTGATGGCTTAAAAAACGGCTATAAAAAAGACAGACATATATATTCCCATTTTGTATGTTTAGAATGTCACATAGCAGAAGTGTAGAACCGAAGAACTCAAGAAAATATTTATTTGACATATTTGTATGTGCAAACATGAGTAAAAATGTCAATACATACCATACAGCTTATTTCAAAACTGAAAAGATTTAATGAAGCGTCAGTTAGAGTCACGTAAAAGAATGAATTTAATTTTAAAGACACACTAGCTTAAATGTATTGGTTAAAGTTATGAATAAAATAAGGTATTTCCATGTATAAATCTAAATAGTAGTCACAAATCATACAATATGCATTTGTAAAATAAACATTATTTCACAATTTTTTTGTCATTCCTTAAAAATCCATTCCCATAACTCTAGTCAATAATTTAGGCAACAAAATAATATGTTATATTTATATACACACACTATTGTTAGCATGTTGTAAGTTATATGTGGCAAGGTGCCATTCAAAACAGCTTAAACTTAGTAATAATGTTACACTATCATGAAAGCGGAGTTTTACTGTTATAGCTCATAAAACCCTTACAGAAATCCATGTTTATACTTAGGACAATGAATTGTTTTGCGGAATCTATCTGTCGGAAAAGTGTTGCTGCAGTTAACCTTATTCTGGAGATACTTCAATGCTCTCCGATATGTTATCTTCGTGGTGATAATATTTTAAAGGTCAAATATGAACGATTTGTAAGTAAAAACGCGCATTTTATGTGGGAGTTTTAAGGAATAAATTTTATTCTGTGGTTGTAATTGAATATTCATGTTCCTTACATATCATATGAAGTAATTTATTTTCAATATTCATCATGTTAAGTATTGTTTTAATTAAAACATTTTTGAAGCATAGACATCACGTGCGTAATATTGTAATATCTAAGTTTCTAGAATTGCTGGCTAACTCATGATGGAAATATCCCAGCTTCTCTTTGCTTATAGTTATTTTAGATATTGGTTAAAACAAATATATTTGGATGCTTAGTTGACATACTGACATTTCACATACATCCAGATAATACCCGCAGTCTAATTTCATTGATATTCTCAACTTATTACAGGATAATTTTATTGGCTCTTTGAATAACCATTGAGTGAAATACAACACTACATCATATTAAGCTTGTTTATCATTTAAAGGCTTCGAAACAATTAAATGTCATTTAATTGCAGAGTAAAGGCAGTTCTATAATTTACTTGACTAAAACCATAATTGCCTACTAAGAGAAGCTCATTTAAAAAAATTATTTTTGTAACATTTTTTTTTTATTGATGCATTAAACATTTTCTGCGTAACTTTAACAAATAAGTCAAGACCAGTGCGCTACATATAATAAGGTTAATAATGCAGCAAAGTTAATTAGCTTATTATTGGCTTGGCTTATAACATGATTTTGTGTAAAAGAAAATAAAAGGGTTCAAAAGGGATGTACACAAGGTTTGCCTTGAAGGGTGGTGCATCCTAGGAGTCATTTTTTTATATAAAAAAATCGTGAACAATCAATAAAAGCACTCGCTGACACGCCTACATCACTAATTGACACTTGCTGACACGCCTACATCGCTAATTGACACTTGTTATTACGCCCCAAATGTCATGCAAGCCCCCCACACCCCAACTTATTATTTGGAATACAAAATATATTTAACTCATTTTTTTTTAAATTAAAAAGACGGGGTATTCTCACAGAATATATTATGATTGGAATAAAAACTTAAGCTACACAAGTCATCTGATGTAATTTTAAAGAAAAATAATTCAATCAAATGTCTTGATACAGATTGACATTTTTGAGTCGGAATAAGTTAAGTTAGTGTAAAACGAGTGAGATATCCAACAAAAATGCAATGTTTTTGTTCGACTTTTGTAGTACAGGTACCCAGAGGTGTAGCTAGAGTTTATTCGCCCAGAGGCAAGATTGAATTTAAGGAGCCCACCTTTCTGTTTTTTAACTTTCAAACCCAATATTTTCATCAATAAAATAATATTAAAGCACATTTTGGCGCCCCTAAGAAGTATGGCACCCAGGGATATCTACCCACTCTGCCCGCCATAAGCTATACCTCTGCCGGTACCAAAGTTGTTGGAAAATAAAAAAAATTAAAATTAAATTCCGGTATTTAAACTAATTTTGAAAAGGTTAAATTTTAGCATGAATAAAAAGAAATAATATTTAATTACACAAATTTCAACCAAAAAAAGACATTTATATTATGTATAAAAAAAATACCACACAATCATTTGAACACATATTCCATATTTAACAACACGTAATATTAAATATATATCAAAAACGAAATATGGTAAAATTTCAAATTAAAATGCATATTTCTTAATTATAATTCTCTACATTGGATATACTAAGTAGCCTAAAATAAAAGCAAACAAAAAAAAAATAAGTTTAAACATTGTAAATCACATATAGTACAATAACACAAGGGGGACGAGAGCATTTTTTAGTGCCAGAACAAGTCTAAAAATGGCCCACTTACCTACACAATGAACAGACATTAATATTGTCAAAAATTATTAATCACATTCAAAAACACTAGTAAATATTTTAAAAGGCATGTACTTCTGTAAAATATAAGAAAGCATAATACACATTAAAATACAAATTCTCTAAGCAACATGTAGTTCATTTAATAATCCAGTATGTTAAGAACAACGACAGACCGTCGAACACAAGCTGATTAGATCTCCCAACATATCCCTCCCCCTCCCCCACAACCAGTGTAAAATGTAAACAAGCAAAATGTCCATTATGATGCCACTTTGAGCTCGATAGGCCCCGGAACAAAATACCAGCTAAACGTCCCACCTCCATCTTGAGTAGGCCTGAATGTACATATTACATAATTATGTATCTATTGCAAACTTTCCTGGTTTTTTTTTCATAACAAATAGTGTCTTATTCAAGCTTCAAATAATACTTTCTTTCAAGGAAAAAAAATTATAAAAGATTTATCTTGTCACTTGTCCATCTTCCTCCGTTTTGTAGTGAAGCATTGTGATGTGGCCTTTCTTTTAACTCCTCTCGGTATCAAATTAATGCTTCCTTCTCCAACAAAATTCTCCACATGTTGAATGTTTATTATTGGAGCTAAATGGTTGATCCTGAAGTTTAAAAAACCAAAAACAAAAAACAATGCATGTTAAAAAATTATTGTTGGGTCAGTTTACTGTTATTTTTTTTAGTCCAGATGTTAGATATATCCATACACGATTTTTTAAATTTAATTCATCCATGTGACGTTGAAAGTCTCAAACTGTAATTTGTAGTTTTGAAATTGCGTCTGTTTTATTTGCCTATACCGTGAAAAGGTTTAAAAATGTGTGAGATGCTCATATTTTTTTAAGATATTGATAGGTGCAAATTGATAGAAACACATATTTGCATCCTCAACAAATCAACCCTTATCCCTATCAATTAGCCAGCACCTTGACCCTACGGAATATATATGTGTCACTGTCAGATCATGTCAGATGTGACGTCCTTCCTGCTGCGTATAATTTTTTCACTGCGCTGTAATGTTTGTTTTATTAACTTCCACAGATATGGCACTACTTTTACTTAGCCACGAATGAGCTATGACGTTTTTCCGGATTGGTGTTTAATAATTGTTTTGAGCGAGAAGAAGCAATTTTGCAAGGAATGTGAGATTGGTTTTTTAAGCTGGGTGCATCGTCCATGGTGAATAGCAATTTCCTTTCTTCCAATGTGAACCTTTTTATTTCTGCTTTGTCTTTATTGTGCACTGTGTTTTAACAAAACATAAAAATAATTAAAGAATACTTTTTATTCAAACCATCTCGTGTTGTTTTTTTTTTTTTTTTTTTTTTTTTTTTTTTTTTTTTTTTTTTTTTTTTTGTTTTTTTTTTTTTTTTTTTTTTTTTTTTTTTTTTGAAATGTGAATGTTTTACATCAGCCTTTTAGGGGCTAAAAGAGAGAAATGATGTTTTACACTCTGAAATTCTTCTTGTGGCCGTTGAGAGGAAACTTACACCTAGACGTCTATTCACCACAATGTGCTACATTTTCTAAACAAAAAATTTACGAGCCTTAATAATGTTATAGGAGCCTAACAAAATGTTGCTCTTTTTGAAATGTGAATGTTTTACATCAGCCTTTTAGGGGCTAAAAGAGAGAAATGATGTTTTACACTCTGAAATTCTTCTTGTGGCCGTTGAGAGGAAACTTACACCTAGACGACTATTCACCACAATGTGCTACATTTTCTAGACGAAAAATTTACGAGCCTTAATAATGTTATAGGAGCCTAACAAAATGTTGCTCTTTGTGTGGGTATTTATATATATATATCATGTTTGTCATTTACAGAATTTTCATTACAATTATTTCATTCTTAGGGACCATGCATTAACATTTTCTCGTGGCCCATCAATCCATTACCCGGCCTTGATATCCATAATATCAAAATTCTAGTAGAAAACAATCCAATAATTAAAATTTTAAATGAAACAACCAACATAACATCCACAGCTGTAGGTAATGTATCAAGGGAATTCAAACACCAATGAAGTGTGTGTGGATTTCCCGAGTGTAATCAGAAAATAAATATTAAAACGTCTAAATGATTCTGAATATTTTGTAAATAGTTAGTTGTAATAACTGTTGTATATCAGCCTTCGGCCTGCTATTTTCTATGCATAAAGGAAAATATAGCTCTGAATAAAAGCCTATCAAAACAGGTGTACATTTTTTGGACAAATCAAAGGATGCTAACTTATCTTTTTTTGTCTGTAATATTAATACATTTAGTCAAACTGCAGCATATTAGTATGCTATGTGACTTACGTATTGTTAAGAAGATGACTGTAGTGATTTGTAGACATTTCAGCGGAAAAAAGCTGTGGTTGCACAGGAAGTTCAAACATATCTTTCCTGAAATATAATAACAAAAAATAAAGATAAAACGAATGGTTCATGATTATCAGAATTAATATTTGTATATTGTATTCAACGTTTTTAAAAAATAGCATTTTTGCATGTATAGTTGACACAAATTCCATATAAAGTCGTGTAAGTTATTTAAGTAAATCCAGCTAAATAACAATTATCTAACTTTATTAAAAATGTTTATAAATTATATTAAGGCATTAATATTGATTGTTTAATAATTTAATTTTAAGATTGAAAACATAAATGTAACTGTTTATCCCTCGAATAACATTAATGAAAAAAAAACCTGATATTTGCTACAAAATAAGAAAATAATTTTCAGAACGATTCTAAATTACTTGCTAAAATACGTTTATATAGAAGCATTATACTCTTTTTTGAAGATTTTTTAATAAATTTAACTTTAACAATTCAATGCTTGATTTTTTTATGAATACTTTCAAATACTTACATGAAGAGGTGGAATAGAATAAAAAATTCTCGAATTTAACACTGTCTTTCTTAGAATTAGCCAAAAAGTGTTTTATGACTTCTTTTTAAACCGTTGAGGAAAAAAATCTACTTACTGTAGAAAATTAGAAAATAAAGAACTTTGACCTTGATTAGCTTTAGTTGAAAAATGTCCTCCACTTGTCTTTTCTCCACATAAAGTTTTCTTGAAATATTGATATTGTGGTTTGTATTTGCAAAAACAATCATTTTTAACTAATATATGGCAGGTTTCACGTATGGTTTTCAGTGTGTCGACATCAAAGGCTTTCCACTGGAGTGGTCTCATCAGAGTTGCAATTTCATAATCTCTAAACTCACGGGCAACGGCTCCTCGTTCAATTAACAATTCCACGATATCACTTCGTATGTTTTCCAAAGCAGAACACAAAGCAAATGATATGTCTTTATTATCCTCAAAATCTTTGTCTTCTTTAGAAATCAATAATTCAACGATATCTCTATGTCCATAATATGATGAAATAATCAAGGGTGTTGACCCATATTTATTATTCTCATTTATATTTGATCCACTGTTTATAAGTGTTTTAACAATTTCTTTATGTCCATATTGTGACGCAATCATAAGAGCTGTCGTTTCATTTGTATTCTTTTCACCAGTAATGGCGCCATTATTAATCAGACATTGAACTGTGCTACTATGACCATTCTGAGATGCTTTCATTAAAGCAGTCCAACCGTATCTATTTTTCTGATTAATATTTGCTTTTTCATCACATAGAATTTGAACAATGTCCGTGAAACCTTTTCCTGCTGCTATCATTAAAGCTGTCCAACTAAAAACATTTGTGTCATTAACATTCGCCCCTCTTTCAATCAACAAATTCACTGTTTCCTTTTTGTTATTAAGCACTGCTATCATGAGATTTGTCCAACCATCAGTGACTCTCTGATTGACATTAGCACCATGATCAATCAATTTACCAATAGTAACATTGTGTCCATTTTGTGATGCTATTGACAGAGCTGTCCATCCATTATTATTTGTGTTATTCAGGTTCGCGTTATTTTGAATTAATTGTTCCACAGTTTCCATGTCATCACAGTCTAATGCAAACATCAGTGTCGTCCAACCATCTTTATCTTGTATGTTAACATCTGCTCCATTTTTTAGTAGTTCTGAAATAATTTCTCGACGTTTGTGTAAAATTGAACTGTTCATGACACGTGCATCATGATCAACACCATCCTTCTGAACATATAATGGCTTTATATCTTTATGTCCACTAATTACAGCAAACATCAGTGCCGTCTGACCACTGTTATGAATTTGATTTATAGATGAACCATTTTTAAAAAGAGATCTTATAATTTGGGATCTGATATTTGTAGTTAATCCAAAAGTATCAAAGATTAAAGCAATCAATAAATTTTCATCACATCTAGCATCATGATCTATTAATAACTGAACAACTTCAAAGTTACCAGAAAATGAGGCTATATAAAGGGCAGTCCAATTTTTAATATTAATTTCATTAACATTTGCTTTCTTTTCAATAAGAAGATCAACTACTTCTTTGTGACCATTTTGTGATGCTAAGTGAAGTGCCGTCCATTCTTGAATTTCCTTTACATTAACATTTGCCCCTTTTTCAATAAGTAGATTCACTACATCTTTGTGACCATTTGTTGATGCTAAGTGTAGTGCAGTCCAATCTTTGAGTCCCTTTTCATTAATATTTGCCCCTTTTTCAATAAGTAGATGAACTACATCTTTGTGACCATTATGTGAAGCTAAGTGAAATGCAGTCAATTCATTAATTTCCTTTACATTAACATTTGCCCCTTTTTCAATAAGTAGATCAACAACATCTTTGTGACCATTTTGTGATGCTAAGTGAAGTGCAGTCCAATCCTTGAGTCCCTTTTCATTAACATTTGCCCCTTTTTCAATAAGTAGATCCACAACATCTTTGTGACCCTTGTGTGATGCTAAGTGAAGTGCGGTCCATTCTTTAATTTCCTTTACATTAACATTTGCCCCTTTTTCAATAAGTAGATGAACTACATCTTTGTGACCATTTTGTGATGCTACATGAAGTGCAGTCCGTTCTTCGAGTCCCTTTTCATTAACATTTGCCCCTTTTTCAATAAGTAGATCAACAACATCTTTGTGACCATTTTGTGATGCTAAGTGAAGTGCAGTCCAATCCTTGAGTCCCTTTTCATTAACATTTGCCCCTTTTTCAATAAGTAGATCAACTACATCTTTGTGACCATTTTGTGATGCAAAGTGAAGTGAGGTCCATCCATGAATGTCCTTTACATTAACATTTGCCCCTTTTTCAATAAGTAGATCCACACCATTTTTGTGACCATTATATGATGCTAAGTGAAGTGCAGTCCGTTCATGAATTTCCTTTACATTAACATTTGCCCCTTTTTCAATAAGTAGATGAACTACATCTTTGTGACCATTTTGTGATGCTACATGAAGTGCAGTCCGTTCTTCGAGTCCCTTTTCATTAACATTTGCCCCTTTTTCAATAAGTAGATGAACTACATCTTTGTGACTATTTTCTGATGCTACATGAAGTGCAGTCCGTTCTTCGAGTCCCTTTTCATTAACATTTGCCCCTTTTTCAATAAGTAGATCCACTACATTTTTTTGACCATTATATGATGCTAAGTGAAGTGCAGTCCGTTCATGAATGTCCTTTACATTAACATTTGCCCCTTTTTCAATAAGTAGGTCAACAACATCTTTGTGACCATTTTGTGATGCTAAGTGAAGTGCAGTCCGTTCATGAATTTCCTTTACATTAACATTTGCCCCTTTTTCAATAAGTAGATCAACAATATCTTTGTGACCATTTTGTGATGCTACATGAAGTGCAGTCCATTCTTGAATTTCCTTTACATTAACATTTGCCCCTTTTTCAATAAGTAGATGAACTACATCTTTGTGACCATTTTGTGATGCTACATGAAGTGCAGTCCGTTCTTCGAGTCCCTTTTCATTAAAATTTGCCCCTTTTTCAATAAGTAGATCAACTACATCTTTGTGACCATTATGTGATGCAAAGTGAAGTGAAGTCCATTCTTCGAGTCCCTTTTCATTAACATTTGCCCCTTTTTTAATAAGTAGATCCACAACATTTTTGTGACCATTTTGTGATGATAAGTGAAGTGCAGTCCGTTCTTCGAGTCCCTTTTCATTAACATTTGCCCCTTTTTCAATAAGTAGATGAACTACATCTTTGTGACCATTATGTGATGCTACATGAAGTGCAGTCCGTTCTTCGAGTTCCTTTTCATTAACATTTGCCCCTTTTTCAATAAGTAGATGAACTACATCTTTGTGACCATTTTGTGATGCTAAGTGAAGTGCAGTCCGTTCTTCGAGTCCCTTTTCATTAACATTTGCCCCTTTTTTAATAAGTAGATTCACAACATCTTTGTTACCATTTTGTGATGCTAAGTGAAGTGAGGTCCATTTTTGAAATTGATTTACATTAACATTTGCCCCTTTTTCAATAAGTAGGTCAACTACATCTTTGTGACCATTTCGTGATGCTTCATGAATTGCAGTCCGTTGTTTGATGCTCTTCTCATTTACATTAGCTCCTTTTACCATAAGTAGATTCACTACATCTTTTCTACCATATTGTGATGCTAGGTAAAGTGCAGTCTTTTCTTGAATTTCCTTTTCATTAACATTTGCACCCTTTTCAATAAGTAGATCAACAACATCTTTGTGGCCATTTTTCGATGCTAAGTGAAGTGCAGTCCATTCTTGAAATCCCTTCTCATTAACGTTTGCCCCCTTTTTAATCAATAGATCCACTACTTCTTTGTCACCATTTTGTGATGATACATGAAGTGCAATCAATTCACTCATGTTTTTAGTCTTACATTTTCCTCTTGTTCATTAGAATCATCAACATGTCGTTGTTTTTTTTTGTTTTTGTTTTTTTTTTGTTTGTTTGTTGTTTTTTAAGCCATGTACTGTTAACTTGTACATTGAAAGTTAATGTAAAATAATATTTGCATTAAAACTCACAATTTAAATTTCCAATCATATTTATAAGGGTCTTTTATACTAAAGTTCAACATAATGTTATCAGATTAATTACTTATACAAGGTACGTCATTCCGCTCAAGAACACATTGTATGGTGAAATTTATGAGAGGTATTCTTTTCCTGATAGTTTCTTTATTTGAGCCTGTACATTTACTCAAACTTCCTTGAATCTGTAACTTCCAAATGTGAATTGTCAATATAAGTTGAGATAATCCGTGACAGAAGTCTTTCTAGTGTCAAACTCTTGTTAATAAACTTATCTGTAGAAAATACAAACGGAGTAGATTACAAACACATGTTTATTCGACATTAACAACGTCTATATAAAATTAAGGATATAGTAAAAGAAAGGTCAGAAATGGTAGTCAACTAAAGACAGCTCAAGGTGAATATTTTTTGTAAATGTTTTGACTGATCATAAGAAAATCAAGAAATTAAGCGAAAACGTGTAATCATATTACATTCTCTTGAACCGTAGATGCGCCCTACAGAGCTTGTACATAATTGACTAAACCCAAACCTAACCCAAAACTTTAATTCAAGAAATTCGTAAAAAGCAGAGAATAATTATACAACCTATAAAAACTAAGTTTTGAGTATAAAACCTTGCATAGTCAAAGTGCACCTTTAATAAAAGTATCTACATGTTGTTCATTTATAATACACATCTTGAGTAGCACACACAATAAGAGTAGTATAGTATGTATACTGGATTATTATTTTAAATTAGGTTTAGGAGGGATGGTTATATAGGACCTCATATGGGATGTTGAAATGGCTAGAAAGACTTTGCCATTGTATGCTAGTAATTAGTTTTTGTAGTGTTGCGTTTGTTTTAAATGTGGTAAATTATAGATTTGTTTTTTGTTGACTTTGTACCGCTCTTCGAGACTTTGGGGATGAAGCGTGTTTTTGAAATGAACTTTATTAGTATTATTATTATGTAATTAAGGGGTTATAATCACAAAATTACTTTTAAATGCTTTTAAATAAATAATTTCTCTTATTGTTTATTAATTATGTTCGCGTTGTTGTACGATGGTTTTAATTAATATTATAGTTGCACGATATTGTTTAATTAGTTAAATTGAATGTTATCGAGTGGTTCTCATTATGTAATGAGTGGTTGTCAAAGGTTTAATTTGATTTTTATCGAGTGGTTCTCATTATGTATTTTAATTATTTTTGTATTGTACAAAGATTTCTCATTTTTCTAATTATTATTCTCATTTTTATTATTAATGATTCTCAAAGTATCATGGTAAATGTTTTACATTTTATATTGAGTTGTTATGATTATGTAATTTTCTAATGAGTGGTTCTCAGGTCCCGTAAAGACCACATAAAGACAACAAAGAGACGAAATCGATTAGGTCTCAAAGTAAATGGGGGTCTTTTTCGTTGCATTTTAATAGTTTTTTTTAAAGTTAGTATTATAGTATTTTAGTTAATATTCCTGTATGTTTTAAGTTGTTCTCATTATCTTGGGTTCCCTTTTCTATCGAGCGTTTCTCATTTTGTGTAAGTCATTAGGGAGTTTTATTCCTCAGGAATACTTATTTTTTAACATGATAAGGTTATTTAAGTTTATTGTGCGATAATGCAATATTTCTCACTTTAAGTTGTTCTCGAAGTATAATAGAAAAGGGGTGGGGGTCCTTTTGGTTATATTTTATTAGTTTTAACTTAGTATTATTATTGTATTTTAATTAGGTTTCTTGCATATTTATGTGGTTCTCAGTATGTAATTTTCTAACTTGCGTGTCTCATTGTGTCTGAGTCATAGGGGTGTTTTCATCTTATGTAATACCGGTACTACTTTTGTAACATGATAAGGCTATACAACTTTATTTAGGGGTACTCAAATATTTCTCATTTTTAGTGGTTCTCATTATTTTTTGGGTTCTTTTGGTTGTATTTTAATATTTTTTAAAATTAGTATTATTTTTTTATTTTAATTAGTTTTCGTGTATAGTTTAAATGTTTCTCATTATGTGGGATCGATTTTCTAACGACCGTTTCTCATTGTGTGAGGGTCGGTAGTAATGACAGGTGGTTTTAAGCTTCTTCTTCTTGTCTATTTTGAGGACCGAGTTGGTTCCTAATTAAAGTTCTTGTAGTGTTTTGTTTAAATTGGTAGCCTTGGTGGGTCATATTTTGAGTGGTTTTCAACATTGGGTTATTAATTATTAGTCTTAAGGACTGAAGGACTGTTTTTTAAAACTTTTTTCGTACTTGTCTTTTGTTTGCAAGGTATTTTCTAGAGAGTTGTCTTGTTGTTGTTGATGAATGATTGCTTTTGAGGTTCAGGAAGGCCTTTTTCTCTGGTCATTTAACAGGAGAACCATCGACTTATATTTGTCCATAGGCTTAAGTACGTACATTTACGACTTGACTCACCTGGCCTGACCGGCAGTGGTTGGTCTGGGGGTGTGAGTAACATCATTTTGCGCTAATCGGGTTGAATGTAGAATACATACCAAGCGGTCGGTGTGGAGTAGTGAATTGTTAACGTTTATTTATTTTGACAGCCTTTCAAGCCGGGGTTATTGAGGGTCTATTTGCAAAGTTTCAGCTTGATAGGATGACTACACGGGAAGTGTAGGTAGGTGCCTACGAAAATGTTTCCCTGTCACAAAGAAAAAAAAACACACGATTTAAAGCGAAGTTAAAATAAATGATCCTTTAATTTAAAAAAAAAAAAAGCTGAAATGCCTTGGATGACAATCAAGTTAAATCATCTTTGCTTAAGCATTTTTTATTAAATCATTTATATTTAATTGTCTATTTTTTGTGGCAGGCTGGTTCGCAAAATCTTTGGACGGTTAAATAACCAACTTTCCTTTTTTCAAATTATCTAGCCTAAACTTTGCACTCATACTCGATGTCGTAGGACAACACATTATAAACATATTTCCAGTCTCATCCCTAAACCTTTAAAAAACAGATTTCTTTTCCGTTTTCAAGATTAACATCATGGAAAATTCGCGAAAACTGCGCTAAATGAGATTTCTTTCAAAATATAGCGAAAGTGTGTTTGGTGCTTAATAATTTCATTTGCTATCGGAAACAGTTGTTGAAATAAATCTGCGTTGTAAAGCCGGTGATTCATTAGAAAATTAATATATTTAATAGGCGTGAAAAATATGTGCATTTGCGAGCCTTGGGTTGGGGCTGGGGGGGGGGTGGAGATGGGCACAAATTGGGAATTTTATAAAGTTTTATCTATGCATTTTATGTTTTAGAAAATTAATATATTTAATAGGCGTGAAAAATATGTGCATTTGCGAGCCTTGGGTTGGGGCTGGGGGGGGGGGTGGAGATGGGCACAAATTGGGAATTTTATAAAGTTTTATCTATGCATTTTATGTCAAATTATCAACCATTGTTTGATAGTTAATTTTATAATAGGATT